GGGAAGTCCTGATTTCTCCTTTCATTAAAAAAACATAATTGCCCTGGCTGGTGGCTAAGTTGGCAGGAGTGTCATTCCATTCACCAAAAGATTGTGGATTCGATCCCCTGTCGGAGTAGGTACGGGAAGTAACCGATCGATGTTGCCCTCACATCTGTATTTCTCTTTCTCTCCCTTTCTCTCTAAAAATCAATAAACATATCCTCAGGTGAGGATTTAAAAACCAAGACATTATTTTCCATCATGTGCTTAAAGGTAGAGAAGACGCTTGAGAGAATATAAGAAATTTATAATTTCCTGTTATTTTCCATTTACCGTCCATCAAGTTATGAACAAATGTGAAAATGGTGTGTCTGGGGAGCAGCAAGGAATCAGTCCCAAAGCCGTGTGTTCTCTCTCCATCCAGCCTTGCTCCGTCCCCGCTGGGATGCACAGGGTGCAGCACACCTCACTTCCTGCCTGCGCCACCGCAGCCGCCTGGACTCCTGCCGGCTGACTTCCACAGCAAACCCCAATAGCTCCTTCCTTCGGCCTAAGGGACTTACTCAAAGAGTAAGGCCAAATGCTGCCATTTGCCGTAAAGACATTTCACCATCTGGCCTTCCCTCCCACTCCCCTTCCCAGCCCCAGGCACACATCCTGTGTTGTGAGTACATTGAACTTGTCACTGTTTCCTGGCAGGCTGGTCTTTTACAGTGCTGGGCCCTTCCTCCTGTCTGCCCAGAAGAGTCTTACACCTTCTTCAGCAGCACTCTCACCCCATGGCATTGAGCCCCTCTGCTCATCTCTCAAGATGCACAGGGGGGCAGGAATTGCTCTTCGCCGTGTGCACAGGGCAGCAGGGACTCCTGGTGTACTCGGGATGGTCCTCAGCCTCGAGCATGTAGTTTTCTTCATTGCTCTTCTAATAGTTGGGATTTCCACGTAGTCTTTCCTACAAATCAGTGACTGTATGTGCTTAGGCTTCTTGGCTATTATTCATAAATAACTTTGCACCTGAATTTTTCGGTCTTCTGTGAGTTTGGTTGATGTGAGTCAGATCTCCCCAACTCAAGCTATGTCTGGAGAATGATCAAGTTACCTTTCTGTACTTCAGGGCTGAAGACCAGACCTAGAATGGCGTCAGCCCTCTCATTCTCTGTGACTTTAAAAAATAGAGCAATGGCTATGGTGGAACTATAATGTTCAAATATGGTAATGGTATTCTTCCGACAAGATGATGAAGGGGAATGGAATAGGTAGAGTTGAGAAGCGGGGCCAGCTGGGGGTTGAAGCCCCTTGACGTGACTGTTCTCACCCCTGCAGTGGGTGCATCTCTCCTGCTGGCCCTGAGCAGGGGGTCCCTGGTGGATTTTGCACGTGAGGCTTTTCTTTCTGTGAAGGATCAGAGGAGTTGGGTGGTCCCCTCTGGAGTGGGGGAACAGGATAGGGTGCAGAGACTGAGAGCATGGTGGGAAAACAGCCTGGGAGCTGAGCAGAGACGGGGGAGTACAGCCCAGAGCCACAGACTTCTGTCGAGCTGCTGCTCTGTGCCAGGGATTGTGGAAGGCACTGGAGTCACAGAGGAGTAGGATTTGGCCTTCGCCCTAGAGGAACTCAGCCTCCTGACGTTAGTTCAAAAACAGAACAGTTACAGTGCAGTGTTGAGGGTGGAAAGAGAGGGGAAAGGTGTACGAGAGTTCCTTTTCATTTCCTCATTCTTACAGCACCTGCCCTTTCACAGGCTAGAAGAAACTGCTCCAAATACCGCAGAACGCTTCCTTCCTGCCACCTCTGCCAGCTGATTAGACAAGTGCTGGATACCTGAGCTCAGGTGGGCTGGACAGAAAGTCTGCCAGGAATTTGGAATAGAGATGCCAGGTGGCTGCAGTCATGTGGAAGTTCAAGTGCTCTACAGGTGGAACACAGGAAGGTGGTTTGCAGAGAGAAGGATGAGGCCCAGGGCAAAGGCCAGGTGGGCACCAGGGGGAGAGGGAGAGAGGGAGGATGGCTGTGTCTGCCTCTGTTCCGGGGCTGCCAGCCTCTTCCTGCACATCATGCCCTAAGCTGCCGATGTCTGTGCGGAGCGCCACCTCTCTCTAAGCTATCTGAACAGGCTCTGTCCCATTGGTGAAAAATTCCTTAAGAAAGGTGCAGGAACTGAGTGACATTCCAGCCCAGCCTTTCACCAGATACTTTTAGTGTCTTCCTTATTCTGAGGTGAGGAAATGCTTTGCTGCTTGTGTCTATTTATATACATATATATAAATACACACACATATATATATATATATATACTCATACATATGGAAGGATTCACAGCATAAGAATTCTTGTGCTTTCTTAATTTAAAAAATCTTTGATCTTAGTTTTATATAAAGTTCTCCCATCTGAGCTATGAGGGCAAAAGAAAGGAATTTGTTGTTGTTGTTTTTTAAAGATTTATTTATTTATTTTTGGAGAGAGAGAGGAAGGTAAGGAAAAAGAGAGGGAGAGAAACATCAGTGTGTGGCTGTCTCTCATGCACCCCCTACTGGAGACCTGGCCAGCAACCCAGGCATGTGCCTGGACTGGGAACCCAACCTGCGACCCTTTGATTGCTGGCCGACACTCAGTCCACTGAGCCACACCAGCCAGGGCAGAAAAGGAGTTTGTTTTGTGTTGGATTTTGTTCACAGATTAGCCTTAAGGAGAGACTGAACAGCATGTTCCTGAAGGCCTAGAACTGGCAGAGAAGATAAGAGGAAAACTAGGGAAGTTAATAACTGGAGTAGAAAAATCGGGAAACTCCTTTGTAGTCAAACATCTTTCACATTCTTGGAAAACACTGTGTTTGAGAGGGAAGCGATTCAGTTTCTCTTTAGTGTGAGGTCATTCCATGTGGCCTGTCAGACCTCCTCCTTTTCAGCTGGAACCTTGTTGTATATGCTTTGTACAATTACCTTTCCCAGAAGCGTTACTTTGGCTACCACCCATTAGGTCTTGGTATGTGGTATTTAATTTTTCATTGAGAACATTGTTTTAACATCTTACCTGTATGCCCACCTATTATTTAGAGGAAAAGATTGAATATTCCAAGCATCTTGTTTTTTGTCATAGTTTTGTTATATTTTGTTTGAAAAGTGCTAGTGTGTACTAGTCATTGTTTTTTTGTGTGTCACAGACTAGTATCTGTTTAGTTATAACAAAAGCACATGTACTCTTTCGAATGTTATTTCAGAACCTCCCAGCTTAGGCTGGTTTGACATAGTATCTCAGTTTTTATGTTCTTTTTTTGTAAGAAATGACTGTTTTGGTTATTTCTTTGGGAATCTTGCTGTTAATCCTATTTAGGGACTGTGACCACCACAGCCCTGTGAAACCAAGGCGGGTCCGGGGCACACCCAGCAGCCAGCTGTCTCAGCTGTGTATGGAGACTGTGGAGCAAGGGACCCTTGGAAAGGGGCGGCATGGCATTCCCTGTTGTCTGGTGTCTGGAAACTTTGAGAGGCATTCATGCACAGCAGAAAAAGAAAGAACTGTTTCGAGACAAATGATCCTAACTTTAAAAATATTCAGAGGCTCTGGGAGCAACGAGGAGTATTACTGCCTGTAGTCTGGCGGGTTGGTCAGGGAAAGAAAGGCATCTGCAGTCTACACTTGGTTGGTCTTGGTGCTTCATGTTTCAGGAAGCCTTAGCCAGTGTGGTCCATGAGGAAAATTTACCCCAAAGGGGCACTGGACTGTTTTTCCGTATTTGGTTTGTGCACTTAATAAAATGTATAATGTTTTCCTGATCAGTCTTGGCATTCTTCTTGTAGGAGGTTTCTATGGGCAGATTCCTACTATGTAGCATTTTATGTATAGGAAATAAGGTAGCCCAACTTCAGTCATTTTTGTATTGTTATTTGAGAAAAACATTCTTTAACTTAGTGTCATATCAACTTAATTAGCAATATGGTAGCAATATAAAACATTGTATTTGATGAGAGGTTATATCTTTATTGTGGGTCATTTAAGAATCCTGTTGCCTATGTATTTCTTCAGTCTACCATATTTCCTTTGTATGTTTTTTTGGTTTGTGATTTGGACCGCAAATGTTAATATTCGACATATATAGTCATATGTATATTCAATAGTTTTAAAATTATTTTATGTGCCTTTTAATCACAGTATTGTGTCATTCTTATATAAACATATCCATTTGTGGCTAATTTATTTTCTTCCACTTAGTTCATTTTTTACTCTGCAGTTTGGTCGAGCTCACATTATAGTAGAGTGGGAGGGAACTCAACTCATTCTACCTTAAGTTTTGCTGCTCTTGGGTATTTTCTTAGGTTCAGGATTTGTTTTTTTCTCTTTTAATGGGATTTCGATAAAAGACAGTAATCTCAGAAGTTTTATGTACATATATGTTGGCTTAAAATCAGCTTTCTTTTCTATAATAAATATCCTTGTGTTTGTGTATATCTGAGGTCCCTGTGATCTAATTGTAGTCTGTTCTGGTGTGTTTGCTACTTTGTCCCTTGTAGGTAGTACACAGTGGGCTCAGTGGCTCCCCAGGTCCAGTTCAGAGTGAAGTTCATCAGTCTTGGGTATGGCTGGCCTTTGTCTACCTTTGCAGGCTTATCTCTGATTGCAGGCACGTGTGCACCAGTTCATACGGCATTTAAAATTGGTTTGTTAGATGTTTGTCTCTTCTCCTAGGGACAATTATTTAATTCACCATTGAATCCTTAACATCCATCACAGTACGTGGAATATAGTGGTGGTGCTTTGTAAATGTCTGCCGCGTGGACACCTAGCTCGAGAGTTGTATTGGGCTTTTCTTTCTCAAACATAAGGGCCCAGTCAAAGATAATGGTGAACAAACTAACCTGGGAAGACGGAGGAGTGCTTACCCCACTGTTGTTTGAGAAAACCATGTCTTCGAGTTTAGGTAGTATTTCTTCTTCTTCTTTTTTTATATTCACCCCGGGATATCTTTTTCATTGTTTTTTAGAGAGAAAGGAAGGGAGAGAGAGAAACATTGATGTGAGAGAGGAGCATCAATTGGTTGCCTCCCATACACGCCTGGACTGGGGAGTGAGCCCGCAACCTAGGTATGTCTAATTGAACTCACAACCTTTTAGTCATGGGACAGTGCTCCAACCAACCGAGCCACACTGGCCTGCTGGGGGAGTATTTCTTTTTAAATATACATTTGTGGATATTAATTTATGTGAAAGCTTATTATTTAGTTTTGTCTCAAGCAGGTTGTAAGCTCTTTGCAGCTAAGGCCATGTCTTAGTATTACCTCTGTGTCTTCTGCTTTGTCTCTACATGGGCAGTAAGTAGGCCTTTGCACTTGCTCATTATGAATAAAGTGAAGAAATAAACATCCCTCTCATCTGTTATATAAAGTAAAAAGTCTGTGCATGTCATTATACTGAGCTCGGAGCTTTTTTAGGGCATAGAGCATATTGTGTTTATCTCTGTATCCACAACAAGTGCTTTAATTTCAGTAGGAATTTTGTAACTCTTGGTAGTTGTATTGACTAATCTCTTTGTAAGAGAAGAACTTTATAAACTACCAATGTTAACTTTCCTGGACCCATGCATGCATTTGAACTATTAGTGTTGTTTGCATGCAAAATTACTCAGTTTTGATGTCCTCAGATATTTTTGTTCACTCAGGCTATGCATGTTTCTTTAACTTACTAAGCAAAGAACTCCTCTCTTCCCCTTTCCTATAGGCTACTATGGCTGCCGTCGACAGCTTCTACCTCTTGTATAGGGAAATTGCCAGGTCGTGCAATTGCTACGTGGAAGCACTAGCCTTGGTTGGAGCCTGGTACACGGCCAGAAAGAGCATCACTGTCATCTGTGACTTTTACAGCCTCATCAGGCTGCACTTTGTCCCTCGCCTGGTGAGCAGAGCAGATCTGGTCAAGCAGTATGGGAGATGGGCAGTCGTGAGTGGTAAGAAATGAGATTTCCGTTCCTGTCTAATTTAACATCAAAATAATCTTTCCTGTTTGTGTTTTAACTTGGGTGCATTATTGAAGAAGTTACTGAATTTAATGTGACTTTTTGTGCGAACTTGTTGATTTAAAAAAAACTGTTATGATTATGTTCACATTTTCTCACTGCCATCATCTTGGAAGAATTTTCCTTTGATTTTCGTCCTTACTCTGCCCTCTCTTACTCCCAGTATTGCTCCAGCCCCACCTTCCTACGCTTTGCTTTTCCTTTCTGCTCTCTGTTTTGAAATTGTCCTTACAAACTGTCACCACTTTCAGAAATGCTTTCCTTATTTTAAATATCATTTACATTTATCATTTCCTGGGAAAGTGTCTCCTGGCACTTGTGCAAGCCAGATATATGTTTGAAAACAGTTTCCTACTATGTCTCCTTATCAACTTGGTGAATGTAAAACAGCTCTTCGGCTACCTGTCAGAAGTCTGGGAGAGTGTTTGCCTAGCGTGTGTCATTCATATTGTGACATTGTGCTTGGCTGATCAGTATTAGAACTTGCTTTACTGTTAGTGTGAGTCTCTTCGCTGATTAAGCCCAGAAATGCAAGAGGGATATTTAAGGTTCATTTTAAAGATCTCACCATGAAATGGGTATGCTCACTTTTCCTGGTTGTATTGTAGGTGCAACAGATGGGATTGGAAAAGCCTATGCAGAAGAGTTAGCAAGCCGTGGTCTCAATATCGTCCTGATTAGTCGGAACCAAGAGAAGTTGCAGATGGTTGCTAAGGACATTGCTGACACCTACAACGTAGAAACCGATATTATAGTGGCAGACTTCAGTAGTGGCCGTGAGATCTATGACCCAATTCGAGAAGCCTTGAGAGACAAAGACATTGGCATCTTGGTAAATAACGTGGGCGTGTTTTATCCCTACCCTCAGTATTTTACTCAGGTCTCCGAGGACAAACTCTGGGACATCGTCAATGTAAACATTGCTGCGGCTAGTTTGATGGTGCACATAGTGTTACCGGGGATGGTGGAGAGAAAGAAAGGCGCTGTTGTCACCATCTCTTCTGGCTCCTGCTGCAAACCCACCCCCCAGCTGGCTGCCTACTCTGCTTCTAAGGTAATGTATTGCTGATTGGAAATGAAATCATAATGTGATAGGGAATTTATTACAGTGGTTTGGCCCCATTTGTTGAGCTGTCAGCAACTCGTGTTTGCTTATGCTGTATTTTTTCTCCTGAAATGATAATAAGCAAGCCTTTTTACTCTCCTGAGTTTTCTTCCAAGTTCCAGAATACTAGACATCTCTCCCCCTGCCTCATTTTAACAGGCTTATTTAGACCACTTCAGCAGAGCATTGCAGTATGAATATGCTTCTAAAGGAATCTTTGTGCAGAGTCTGATTCCGTTCTACGTGGCCACTGGCGTGACTGCGCCTGGCAGCTTTCTGCACAAGTGCCGGTGGCTGGTGCCTTCACCGAGAGTGTACGCACATCATGCCGTCTCGACCCTCGGTATTTCAAAAAGGACCACAGGATATTGGTCCCATTCTATCCAGGTAACAGCACGCATTCACTGTTGGGATTATGTTAATGCATCCTAAACCTGTCCAAATGGTACAGGAGACTCTGACTAAAGAAGCCTAAGGCTGAAAGATGAGAATGGCACATTATGATTCTTAAACCTGATCTTCTTAGTGGTTCTGGTAAGTCATCAAATACTCTTTTGTGGAAGTAGGGCTGAGAGCACAAGCAGAGGGGAAGTAATGTGGACTTGGGAACCAACTAGAGAGTGGAGGAGGAGAGCGGAGAGGTTGGGAGACCACTCGGAAGCCGAGGGACCCTGTCTAATGACTCCTATGCGGTTGGGTCTGCACAGAACCAGGGGGTGAGGCGTAGGGAGTGTGAGGCTTTAGAGAGTGAGGAGCTTGGAAATAATGATTGTGAGGAGAGGAGAGTGAAGCGCCTGGGGAACCATCAGTAGATTGCTGAGCAGGGAGGAGGCCCCAGTGACAAGGGGAACCGAGAACTGACGGTGGCTCCGGGTGTGCAGCTTGTCTCCAGCGGCACTCAGCACAGTCGCGCGTGTGTGTGTGTGTGTGTGTGTGACGCTTCTTGAAGCCGCTTCAAAGGTGGCACCAAAAGTAATTTTACAACAGTTTACTGAGAATGTGTCTGTGTTTGTGTGAAAAGCGTTTTTTAAATTTTTTAAAATTGATTTTAGAGAAAGAGGAAAAGGGTGAAAAAGAGAGAGAGAAACATCGATTTATTTCACTTTTTTATCATTCATTGGTTGCTTCTTGTATGTGCCCTGACCAGGGATCGAACCTGCAACCTTGGTATGTTGGGGCGATGCTCTGACCAGCTGAGCTACCCAGCCAGGACAAGAGATTGTTTTTGATGCGCTTGCACAGAGGTTAGGGAGCACATTTTCTCACTCCTGACCCGTGCCTCAGCCTTCCTTACACATGTCCTCACTTCCTTACGCACATCCATAAAACAGCATTTCTAATCAGGAGCAGCTGGAACTGACTCACAACCATGGCATCTTCATTTTCTGGCAATCGTTTCCTATAATTTAACAATTGTATCTTACATGTATTATGCTAGTTGTCTTAATAAAGATTTGCAAGCAAAAAATAGAAAAAAAATGATTTGGACTTTAAAAACAGCTAGAAAGGAATCAAAGGATTTGCTTTAATTGTTAAGTAGTTGTTAACATTGATTTGGGAGCATTTCTTACTTTCAGAAGTGGCATTAGGCAATGTTAAATTGTCCACTTTGGAACACATAGTAAGTCCAACAGAAAGAAAGCTTTTCTTTTAGAGCTTTCTGTTTGTGATCCTTGACATAAAGGCCAGAAATATGCTGGTTATGTGTTGGGTTGAAAAAACAATTACTTTGACAACTTGACCAGTAAGTGTCTTGCTCATGAATGTCGAGACTGTGTTCCAGGTGAGAGGGTCTATAGGGGAACCTCTGGGGAATGGAGAGTGGAGCGGGAGAATCTGAGCTCTCGACAGGCTCCTAGTCTTTTCTGAGTGTCTGCTACTTTTGAGGTGTTTGTTCACACACACTCCATGTTGCTCTTGGGAAGAGGAAATGTGGCATTGAGGGGAGAGGTGGAGCTCGGTGGAAATGAGAAGGCCTGAGGCTGCAGGTGGAGATGTGGGTGAGGGTCCAAGGGAGCCCAGCCGACAACTGGGTCAGAGGTTAAAGCCCTCTTGTCGGGTTTTGTTGCAGAGACCTGCTCCTTTCTTAGGCCGGACACACTGGTCAGGAGTCCTGAGCATGCGCAAAGCCTTACAGAAGCCAAAACCCACCCTCCTTTCTCTGTCATAGACACACTCACATCCTCCCCCTCTTCACTTCGGGTGCTTTTCTGCAGTTCGGAGCACCCAGAGCCTTGGCATTCCTTTCCAGTGGCTGTGGTTGCTCAGACAGGTCCACGAGTCAGCCTTCCAGTTCAGCTGTCAGCATCCGGGGTGAAGTTCCCCCTCCTCTTCCACGGGCCCTTTCCACTAAGCTCTTTCTACCTTGCTGCCCAGGAAGCTGAAACCTCATTGGCACCTTAGGAAACGGTCAAAATACGCCTTGGTGCTGGTCCCCCTGCAACAGACAGTGGTCAGGGATGGAAATTGAGAACAGATTTTTAGATGCTGATTTTTTTTCTCCAGTAAATAAATACTGAAAAAATGTACTTTGAAGGGGGATCCAGTTGTCTAGTCTGTCTCAGGTGCCTACATGTTTGAGTGCTGTTTTACTGACAGGGTCCTCCTCAGGGACCGTAAGTGGACTTCTCTCATCCCTTGGATTTAGGACCTCTGCTTTAGGACAGCAGGTCAAAGGAGGGATATCCCAGTGTGTTTCCCCCCATGAAATCCTAGTTGTTTAAAGAGGTCCAGAGACCTTAATCTTTTCCCCGGAAAGTTACCCATGGCTCCACGCGAAATACTGGGCCCTTGGCTCTGAGGTGGTGAGCTGGAGCTCCCGTGGACCCTGCTGTGAGCCTGTCACCTGCAGTTCGCTGTACTGGGAACCCCTCCTTACCTGGTGTGGTTCCCTGGAGGCGCAGAGTAACCTAGGCTAGAATTTCAGCACTTGCCAGGAGCCTGTCCATCTCCCTTTCTTAACGTACAAGACAGTGAAAATTTCACTCAGTGTAACTTTAGCGATGCTGACGAATCTCTCAGCATTGTCCAGGGTTTCTCTACCTCAGCACTGTTGGAATTTGGGGTTGGATAATTCCTTGTTGTGGGGCTGTCCTGTACATTTAGGGTGTTCAGCCCATCCCTGACCTCTACCCACTGGATGCCAGTAGTGCCACCGCCCCAGTTGTGACAACCAGTAATGTTTCTGGACATTGCCATGTGTCCCCTGGGAGAGGGGGCAGATGGCCCTGGTTGAGAATCCTTGTAGCAGAGCAACCTCAGCAGAACTCCCTCCCTGGACCCCCAAGCCATCCATCCTCCTCACATCTCAAGACGGTGGGCTAGGGTCCTGGTGTTTTTGACTCAGTTTTTCTGTTTAGCTTGACTCTGTTCTGCCCCTCAAACCTGTTTTCTCACATAGTACTTAACCATATACACATTTATCTACTTCATCTGCCTTTCTTCTGGAATAATTTTGTAGTTTTTAACCAAATTAAGCAAGTTAACATACTATTTGTATCACGTAAAGATGAAATCCTATTACTGCATGTAGTTCCGCCCTCACTGAGAAAGGGGGTGGGTGGGTGGGTGGCAATCATGTTTCTATTCCGTAGGTCTCACAGAGGGTCTTATGCAAAAGTGGGTGCTAAGCAGCACCTGAGATCTCTTTCCTTTTTTGTATTTAAAGTGATTGGTGATATTTGTTGGATTAAGTCAGATGCTGATCTGTACATTTCAGTGTCAGTGGCTTTGGGTTCTAATCTTACAACCTTTTTCTCTTTCATTTTTAGTTTCTTTTTGCACAGTATATGCCTGAATGGCTCTGGGTATGGGGAGCAAATATTCTCAATCGGTCTTTACGTAAGGAGGCCTTATCCTGCAGCGCGTGAAACTGGATGATGGTTTGGGAAGTTCTGCCAACTCGCGGGAACCTACAGTATTCTGACATTTGGAAGAACATGTTTAATTTGTCTTCTGTATTTTCTTTTGTGACTGGTTATTTAGCATACTGCCGACTCATCATTTGCAAAGCAGACATAATACTTGTAGAGAATGCTGTGGAAAAACCTCAAGGGCCACTTGGATGGCACAGAGTAAATAATGACTGAGGCATAAGAACCGATTGAGGAAACCTATGTTTTGATGCTTTTTCCCCCTAGCTGTTCAAATGTCGTGTGAAATGTCGTGTGATTTATGTTCTGGGAGCTACAGCAATCTGATATTGAAATGTACTTATAACATGACTTGTCACCTCTTACAATTTCATCTGTTGTCTTTTAAGGGGAATTATTTCAGTAGATGAACTGTAATATTGGTTTTCAAATGGTCATCAGGAAAGACCATTCACAAGTGTCATTTTATAAGATTGCTGGTATGATTAGTAGTAGAAATCTGTGCGTGTTAATGTTGTATAGCTCTAGTCGTTGGACTGTGTGTGAAAGTGCTGCTTTCCAACTGATGTTTCTGACACAGCTGAGTGTGTCTGGATGCTGTGTGCATCTGCGCAACTTCTTGGGGAAGTCACTTTAGAACCTGTTTTGTCAACTTGGTTTAATGTGGAACCTTACAGGGTATTAAAATTCTGGATATTTTCTCTTTGTACCAAAAAACCTTACCCAATTTTGTGCTGTAAGCTTGCCATGTACAATATTACCTACAACATCCTGTTTTTTTAAACCTATGATGGAATTCATTCCTAGATTTCAACACGATTGACTGTTATTAACCTCTTGATCTATGATTATTGTGGATAAGTAGTGATTTCTCAGCCTATGACCCATTTTATAATTGAAATTTAGCCCTTTAGATCTTGTTAAATCTGGTTTTCATATACTTTTCTCTGTAATATTATTTTATTCCAGTGGCATTATTGGTGTAAACCTCAAGTATTTATGGAATAGTGGTTAAAATATGGACAGATTATGTATGTGATATGTATTGTATCTATTGAAAAATGTTAGAAGCTCATTCCTGGTTCTTGTGATTAGTTTAAGCATTTTAGTGAAATTTTTATTGGTATGAAGATAATGATGCACCCCCCTCCCCCCATATACAATATGGGTTAGTATTGATACCTGTTGTGAAATGCTTTTGGCTCAGGTCCCATTAAGCCAAACATTTTGAGGACCTCATACCTAGTGCTCTGACAATTGCAAATCATTATATGAGTATGACAACATGTACAAAGTAAAAACGAGGAGTTTAATGTTGGGAAACTGACACAAAAGCTAGGAAAATGATTGAAATCAGGACTTTTGTGGAATTGTTTTCTCCTGAGATGATGTTCCATTATGAGTAGGCCCAAACATGCTTTTATGTTATAAGTACAGTAACATTGTAACATGTGCTGGTAACATTGCCTCGGTATTTCCAGATGTCACTTGGACTCAGTTCAGAAGCTCTTCCACTTACAGATCGGGCCTTCAAGACATGAGAGGAAGACATTCAGATGTGAAAACTTACACACTAGTGACACTATATAACACTGAAGGTTTTATGTTACTTTCATAAAAGGTAATATACCTTCATATGTTACCTTAGGAGCCTTTATTTGGTCACATTTGGCATTTTCCCTCACCCAACAATTAATCTATTGTAATTAAGACTAGAAAAAAATTGACTTCATGCCACATTGACCTGAACTTTGACGTGTAATAAGCAGCAGCAACTTTGTGGGAAAAAATACCGTATTTATACCTAAGGTGTTATGTGGTACAACGGCATTTTGTATTTACAGATTAGGTATTGAATCATTGTTACATGATGAGAATAAGTAAACCATGTCAGTGATGTTTTAAGATTCTCTGCCTGGCAGGACACACGTAAATAAGCTGATTGGTGCAAAGTTAGCGAAAGATCAAAACTTAGAACCTTCCTTAGGTTTTGTCTTCCATAGAATACTTTTTCCCAGAGCTCATTTTAGAGTCATAGTTGGACCACTGTAGATGGGGTTTCTTATTAAGAATGTGGGAAATAGCCTTTGAAACAATGCGTGAACTGAAAACTTAACAATGAAAGTAGTTGCCTTCTCCTTTGCTCCATATATTTGTAAATGGGTTGTCTGGAATGAGAGATACATTTTTTTTTCTCATAAGAATGATTATTTTTAAATTACAAGAACTTAATTTATTAACACCTTGGATGAAATTCAACACAAAATTGTACATACGCATGTCTTTTGAAAATGCTAGGTTGATTTCTCCATCTCATTCTCCTGATAGGTTGAGTAAGATGAAGGCTGACTTCGATCACTGACTTTGCAACGTGGAGGTCGCTGGCAGCTTTGCCACGAGCCATTTTACCGACTGGTGCGGGTGAAAGGCAGATTGTAGTGGGTTCAAGGAAGGGCGGGAAGAACAAGGAGACAGGAAGGAAAGAGAGCTCTATTGAGGAGTCCTTTTTTGTTTGTTTTAATCTTAGTTAAAATCCCGTCATATTGGAAACCAGAGGGTTTCAGGTGGTGTCCTGTCTTTGACACTGTGTGCCCTCTAAGACCAAGTCCAGTCTCTCCGTGTGTCTGTCTCAGTATTGGCTAAGCTGTTACTCTTTAAAATAACTCTTAGTTTGAATAAAGATTTACCTTCCATGGAATTCTGAATGCTTTATTACACACACGAAGCAGGGGTTTAGGAAGTTACTGTAGAACCTGGAGTGGCGGAAGACTGGGAGGCCGGGATCCTGCGGTTCTTGGCCTGTCCTGGTAGATAGCCTAGCCAAACCATCTGTCCCCTGTCCCGGCCCCCTTCAGTTTCTAGGGCTCTCAGGAGCTGGCAGCTTGCTTCTCTTCCCCATTTTGTGGCTTCACTATCACATGACAAGGATGTTTGCAATTCATTAGCCTACCCAGTCCCTAACAGTGGGGCTGTGTATTCAGTGGCATAGTGACTTAAAGGGCTATTAAAAAACCCTGGCCAAGATCAATTTACTCCAAATCAGAACAGTTAAATTTAAGATCAAGTGCATTAATGGTGGCAGCACAGAGTGCTTCATTTTGAGGACTACAAATGCAAGAGTCAAGAATTCTCTGCAAGTTCCTGACATTGATTCAATCTCAGAATGGGGGCTGAGGGGTATTTAACCAGGTGTGTTTATTGAGCATGTGTGACTCAAGCTCTGTATGTCTCATTTAACCCTCATTCCACAACAGGGGTCATCAAACTCATTTTCACCAGGGGCCACATCAGCCTCTTGGTTGCCTTCAAAGGGCCGAATGTAATTTTAGGACTGTATACGTGTAACGACTCCTTAACAGTTAAGCAAGAGCTGGGCGCTGCCTGGCTGGATTGAGCTCATAGGCCTTGTGTTTGCTACCTGTGTTCTGAGGTAGGTATTAATACCTCTTTTGGGTGAGGAAGGTGAGGTATAAAGAAGTACAACTTGCTCAAGATCACAGAGCTAGCGGGTGGTTCTGTATGTATCCACTATATTATATCAGTTTGTTGAAGATGAATGCTGAGATTTTTTTTATATTGGTCCCATTCAGCATATCATGATGCAGCAGAAGTTCAACAAGACATGAGGAGTTCTGCTATATCTGACTGCATTGCACATTTTCATTAGTGTTACCTAAAACAAGTTTTTAGTCCCCCAGTTGTGCCCCATACCAAGTGTGGGCCAATTCAGCGTTTAGGCAGAATAGCCTGTGATCCCAGGAATTTTTCTGGGTGGGGTGGAGGGGAAACTTTTGATCCTTGTTTCTTCAAAAAGGGTATCATTGGTATTAGTGGTCCAGGTGAGGCAGAGAGGAGGCCAGTGCAGCAGACAAGATTTTGGGCAAAGGTTTCGCCTGTCGGGGGGAGGCTGCGTCTCAGCTGCTACGTGGGTGAAATGAGTAGAGGTTTGCAGAGTGGGTGCCTGAAGTTGCTCTGAATGCGGACACCACGGCCCCAGGAAGACAGCGTTCATAGCAAATGCTGGCCACAGGGAGCGTTACCCCAGGCTTGTTTTCCGCAGGGGGCCAGCGCAGTCGCTTTTTTGCCTGTGCGGGTTCTCCAAGGTTCTTGCCTCAACGCCCAGCGCATCCAACGCTGCTCTGCTTCACCCCGCGTACGGACTCCAGAGAGCGACGCGACCACGCTTCAGCCCCGCCTCCTCCGCAGGGCCGCAAACGTCGCGAGACCTCTGTCCGTCCTCGCCGGGCGGCCCTCAGCGTCCAGAGCGCGCACGCAGGCCCCACGCAGGGCACGCAAGGCCGGCAGGGACGGCGTTCCCAGCCGCTGGTCTTCCCATCCAGATGGTGCGGTGTCGCGAGAGTTGGGAGTAAACAGCCCCGAATGGAGACTCGAGGCGTGTTCATCACGGAAGCGCCGTTATCCCGGGCCCGCCGGACCGGAGCTTGAGACAGCCGCAGGTTCGTCGGGCTGCTGGTTCCAGAGGCTCTGCCCCTCCTCCGTATCTACGCGGCTGCTGGGGCGTTTGTCTCTGCCGAGGGCGCCCGAGGCCCGGAGGGTGGGTGTCTGCGCGGGCGGTGGCTAGGGCCTCCCTGCGACCCAGGATCCCCGGGGAGCGGACCAAGGGCGCGGGGCTCGGGCCCGGAGGCGTGCGGTAAAGTCAGGCATTTAGACGCACCCGGCTACAGGGAGTACATGGCAGTAGGAAATGAGCGGTCCCCTCCGCTCGCCGGAGCCGGCCTGGACTTAGGGCTTGTGTCCCTGTCTGGCCTTTTCTATGTTGTTTACATGGTGAAGTAGCCGGCTCAATTTCGTCTTCTTTAAATGACATAAGCTTTAACGGAGTGAAATGGTATACCTGGCTTTGACCCTCAGCCTTCGAACATAGTGCTGGGTGTACTCCCAGAAGAGTTCTGGTATCAGATTTTAAATGACCTCAGTTCTTTGCTGTAGCTGAATCTGTACACACTTTTCAGTGTACACATTGAAAATTGTTCCACTGATTTTCAAAACTGCAGTGTAGAAAGCTCGTCGGCAAGTTGTGGCCGTGAGGCTCTTTGGTTTACTCTTACAAGCAGAATGCTTTTCAGACCGCCCTCTCATGATGTGCTTCCTAGATAGACTGTTATAGGTGAACATGACCATTATCAAGGTATTTAACCCTTTGTTTTGCTTAGAGCCACTGAGAATCTTGGCCTATTTGTGTATACAAATTAAGTTCAATGTTTACATTAAGACACTTCTAAGTGAGGTAGATTGGCATAAGATCTGAATTGAACTTTGGAGAACTTATCAATAGTTTCCTATGGCCCTGCTAGTAAGGAGCTCTCTGACTTCAAGACCTAATTTTGCATATGTATAAAAACGAGAGGCCTGGAGAACAGTGATTCTTCCCAAGCTTTTTACCTGTAGCACCCATTTGTTTGTTTGTTTATATTTCAGTGTAAGAACTTTGTTAAGGTAAAATTTACATACCGTGAAATTCATCGTTTTTAAAAGGTACTTATTCAATGATTTCTTAAAAATTAAATTTACCGAGTTGTCAGCCATCACCACAGCCCACTTTTACAACATTTCTATCATCCCAGAAAGATCTCTGGTGCCCATTTGTAGCCACTACCTATTTCTAACCCCATCCCCAGATCACCACTAATCTTTCTGTCTCCCTAGATTTGTCTTTTCCTGCTATTTAATAGATTCAGGCAGAATCGTGTATGTGGCCTTTTGTTTCTGGCTTCTTAAATTTAACATAATGTTTTCAGGGTTCTTCCATGTTGTAGCATGTATCACCATTCCTTTTTATGGCCCAGTAATATTCTGTTATGGATATAAAACATATTGTCTATTCATGCACACAGAACACCTTTTGCAAATAAAATTTTGTTTTATGTTCCCATGTATGGTGCCGAGGGCCAGAAGCCCTTTACTGGGTGGGGGGGGCGGGGGGCATGACTCTTGTCTGTTCTCTCCATTGCATTCCTCAAGCATCCGTTATAATCAAGAATTGCTTGTATCTATGACAAGAGAAAAATTCTGATTAAGTGCTTGCAGAGCCTTTGAAGCACCTATGGGATCTCTTCTGATCAAGGGGTTTTCAAATTCACATGTTCTTTGATCCCATTTCTATCATTCTGGTGGTAGGTGGCTCTTGCCCATTGCCTCCTTATTTTTGTGGCACAGTAAGGAACAAACGCTAAGAAGTCTGAAGGCTTAAGTGAACTGCACATGGTTCCCATTAGTGTTTTAAGCAGTGTTTTGTTTTTTCCCCCCCCTGGGGGGGCAGATATACAACAGCATCTTTGCATGAGGTGAAAGTTGAGACATTGGTTATATTTTATTGGAAAAAACTTGATAGCTCTAACTCTTGGTGACATGAAATATTAAGAATGGGAGGCTGGACCTTGTGTTTGGTATTTGGGTAGGGGACCTTGGTTTCTTCCAGGGTTTTGCCTGAGACAGGTTAGGAGGTGGTTAAAAGGACTTAAGTTGATTTTTCCTTCTCTGTTTTCCTCATCAGTTTTGATGTGCTACAGGAATCTGTTAACTAGATTTATTCATCTTGACGCCATCTTTTTGTTTGAGGAAATGAGTTTAAAGTAAAATGAGGAAAGTGCTGATTTTTGGAGGTACCTCATATGTGGCTAGCCAGTACTAGAGGACTGAAGGGTAAAGAAAAACTGTTGGAGACAGGAGCCTCCCGTGTGAGAAAATAGGCAATGAAAAAGACAGCACAGACGAAGGTTTTTTTAGGTTGGGCACTGTTGACTCTCTGGGCTGAATTATTTGTGGTTTTTCCTACTGTGAAACCTACTAATGGACAGAATGTGCCAGGAGGAATGGTTCAATCAGGCTTAAGAACACACCTTTTTCTTTTTTTTAAAGATAATGTGGTCTGGCATCACTTAAATGTTAGTCTATGATAACATTGATAATACAGCCAACTATGCCATTAGTTACGAAACTGGTGTTTTTACAGCCAAATTTTAATTGAACTGAATGGTGCCCTTTCATGGCCTAAACACAATTCAGTTTTCTCTGGAGCTATTTCAGTAAAGGTTCATTAAAAAGCAAGGTGTATCTGCATAATTAGATGACTATTGGGTGATACAAGTAATTCTCTCTCACCCTGAATTGTGTTTTGTAATTATTTGCAAAGAAATAATTTCAGATGTACTTTAGCACTACCCAGAATTATAATCTTAGTGATACGCTTTTATAATGCAAAGTAGAAGAATGTCAGAGTTGCAAGGAATGTTAGCTGTCAGCGAGACCAGATGCTTGCCTAAGTAGTACATTCCCTCCGTTTTGTCTCCCTTTTACTCATGTGTCATTAACTCTTATTCTTGGCATGTATTATTTGGAGTGGGTTTTTGGCATTCAGTATTTGATGTCCACTATGTTTTATTACACCTGTTTTAGAGGCATAATTACACTTAATTATAGAAACTCATAATTATGTAAATATCATCTTTTAGATATTACCTTCATATGGGAAGATAACCAGGTCTTCTGTGTAAAGGATTGATAGATATTAAATCCAGTAAACACTCAGTGGAACCAGTAACAGCCCTAATTAGGCCCTATGAGTAAGTGATACTACAGGTGGTAAGCCTGTTGAGAATGAACTAGCTAAAAGTTTAGCCTTGCTTTAGAAGGTAGACACAGATTTTAGTAAACAATTCCTAGGATATAGATCCCTTT